TTCTCTGTGCTGCCACGTAATCAATCGCTTTCTGGCCCACTCCTTTACAAGGGGTCATAAAAAGGACTTCCCTTCTTTCGCGCTGGTTCATTCCTATGAACATATACTAAAATTGGAACAATACAGAGAAGATTAGCATGGCCCCTGCGCAAGGATGACACGCAAATTCGTGAAGCGTTCCAAATTTTTTGTTTTTTTAAGTAGATGAACAACAAAGCCAAACGTTTTTCTCAAAGAATCTATCAAAAGTGTTGTAAAATCTTTATTTAGATTGTTTCTCCACTTAACTTTATAGCTCTGAATCCCTTTCATTTTTTGAGTACATTAGCTTCGTTCACAGTTTGAGATTTTTTTTTGAACAAGAAGAAGTGCAATGGCTGTGGGTTGATTTTTGCTCGAAAAAAAGCTCCGGAAAACACGAGGAGGGATTTAGGAGAAAGGAACTGTGAGATGGGTTAAGCCTCAAGCATTTCAAAGGCAGACTTGGTGAAAGAGAAGGGAAAATGGGGAAAATAGGGAAAAAGAGGATTTCAGGGTCTTCCTTTTGTGGCTTGTGGAAGAAAGGATGGATGTGGGAAAGAGAAAATTGGGGGGGAAAGATTGAGAAGAGATTGAAACAGAACTCCCTTTTGATCCTTGTCGAAGGGAAGTCCATTCTCTCCTATTTTATGGATCGTTTTGTCTACAAGGCTTTCGTCAACTCTTCCTTTTTTCCCTTTTTTTAGGTTTATTACCTTATCTAGAAAGTCTATATCAATGAATTGGCTGTTGTAAATTTTCGAATTGTTCTGATCGAACGAATCCAATTGTTTGTTTACCTGACAACCAGTTTCTCTGTTTTGCTCTAACAATTCTTCAATGATCAATCTGTTTACCTATCGAAAAGTCTGGAAATGACAAAATCTAGATTTCTTTATTCTATTGACTTTTGTAAAGACATAGATTTACAGCTAAATCTTCAAGCTAAACGTTTTTTAAACCTTATCTAACTTTACATCATAGCCAACTCTCCTAGCCAACCTTTTTCTAACCGACTCAACTATTTAGCTGAACTTTAGGAGAGTTGAATTGAAGAGTTGAATGCAGAGTTGAATAAGAGAGTTGAATACAACAGAAAGATGTTTTCATGAGCAGCTGGAGCACAAAGAACAGCCAAATCTTATAAAGATCATTCACAGCTTGCATAAACATCAATGATTATTCAGAACAAGTCAAAACCGTCTTGACATCATTTTATTTCATTTTATCTTTTTCAACATTGAGCTGCTGTCTTCTAAACTCTAAAGCCAGCCAAGCAAAGCCTCAAACTATCTTGACCTCGTGACGTAAAGCTCACTTTTCAAACTTAGCCGAACATGTTATTGTGATCATCTAAAGCTTGTCAAACCAGACATTTCCGTTTCTCCTCTCCTTCAAAGCGTTCCCCTCATTCTTCCATGTCAGACTCGAATTTCGCTCCAAAATTTCCTCCAATGATCCGTAGACGATTTTCCTTTGCGTCTCCGAGAAAAAAACTGAAAATTTAGTGGCTAATCCCAGGGAAAAGCTGTCAATCTCTTTGTGGATTTCCGAAAGAAATCCAGCTTGTTCGAATCTTTAAAAGTTCTGTCCAAAGAAGTGATTTTTGAAGATCTCAATCGAAAAGAACAGGAAATTTGTAGCTATTGAAGCTAATGAATTTGTCTTTATTTTGGAGAATTTTGAAGATTGATCATTGCTCTCATTAGGTGTCTGTGCTAAGGCAAAAAGGATTTCGGTTTTGGTTTTGCTGGCAATGGTGCACTGTTAAACGATATAAGACGATCAAATTGTGATTTTCGATACTATTTTCTTAGATTACTTACCCGTAAATACTGTAATAGTACCCCACCCGCCCTCGTACAGTCGCGTAGTCGCAAAAGTTTTTTAGTATTCCATTTGCAAAGCACCCGTACTCTCAAAAAATGCGTCTTTGGTATCAAAAAATAGCCCTGAATTTCAGTTATTTTTTGATACCTATTCGCGCATTGTAGCATAAACCAGTGTCGAGAAAAACTCGTTCAAAGCTAGACTACGCAACGCTCCGCACCGTCATTATGAGGTGCGGTACTATTACAGTATTTACGGTAGTACATTTTTAAAATGAAATCCTCAAACCTTGAGGCAGGCTCAGGGGAGGACAAGGTGACCGTTTGATGAGCGAGGTGCTCTTTTTGCGGCCCCCTAATCGCTCACCATCTGGCAAACCCCTCCAGCATAGATTGATTCCCTTTCGGAGATTCGTACGTGTAGAATTCAGTCATTGTTTGGCCTTTGAACCAGTTTGCCCTCTTATCATCGTAAATTTATTGTCTCCAACATACTTTGCTGTAAGATTTTGAATTTAAACCGATCACAAAGATCATATAAATTTCCTGACGAACGGCATTCATTTCCACCTAGAAAATCTCTTCCTAAATCTTTTTAAGATCACATTTCATAAGTTTTAAGTGAATAAGTGGCTTTAAGTGACTAAGTTGATGCAAAAGAAATTTTGCTTTGTAGAAATTATTCTATTTTTTTTTAATCTGGAAATCTTATTTGATTTTCTTTTATATATTTGTACTTTTGGATATTTAATTTATTTTTTTACGCTTTTTCTAAGTCAGAGCTTTTACTTTTTAATTGATATTTGCTTTAGATCATGGTGGATCATCAGAAATCAAAAAGTATGTTGTGTGCGCGTGTCTTCTCTACGATTTCAAGATGGGCAAATACGCTGCTGAATCAGTTGAATCAAATCGTGATCTCTGTTCCGCTTTTGGAAAACAAATGACCGAAAGATCCTGCCAGCTCTGGTTTGCTTAATTTCGAGAAGATATTGAATCTCTTGAAGAGAAACCACGCTCCGCAGCGATCGATAATAATGAATTGGAACAACTTATTGAAGCCGATCAATGCAAACAACACAAGAGCTTGCCAAACATCTTCAATATGATCAATTAACAATTGTCCGCCATTTGGAAATAATCGGAAAACCAATCGTAATGGACAATGGGTTGCCATCAATTGAGTACCGAGAATCTGGGAGCACTCGATCAGCCATATCTTGCTTCTCAAGTCGAAAAGAAGCCATTTTTGAGAATATCTTGACGGTGGATGGATTCAGATTCATTTCGATAACACTTATCGAAAAAGACAATGACTTAGCAAGGGTCAAATGCTAATTCTAGCTTCAAAGCCGGATCATAGGCACAAAGTGATGTTGTCTTGTTGATGGGATATCAACGGGCTTGTTTATTTTGAATTATTAGAGCCCGGGAAAACAGTTGTTCTTGTTTTATTCAACAGCTCAAGAAGGTTAACGAAAATTTGGCGTCAAAAGCGTTTAAATCCCTCGACTCTCAATTCTTTTTAAATTGAAATCCTTCAACTGTGAATTTTCTCTGTGACAACACGCCAGCTCACACAGCGAAAGCTTCTTGTATGGAGTTAGAGGAATTCGGATGGAATATCTTACCGCATGCGCCATATAGTCATCTTATCACCATCTGATTTTCATCTCTTCAGATCGATGCAACATTCCCTTGCAAATTGCCAGTTTAAGAATGCGCAAGTGGTCAAGATTTGGATGATCGACTACTTTCAATCACAGAATCAAGAGTTCTTCGATAAGGGGATTAAAATCCGCGCGAAATGACGGTTTTCCATGCTTTGAATTCTATTCATTTTCCATCTTTGAATAGCAATTTGATGCAGAAAAATGTCCTAAATTCAATGGTGAAAAAAAATTATCAAAATCCGTCTGATACATTTTTAAAAAATCGCATTTTGATCAAAAACATTGGTAATTTTACATAGATGGGGCCCCGAACTCACCTCATTTATAAGGTCAATTCTCGCAGATAGCGGGCATAGTGCTTGTTCTTTGGAATAAATTGATTACCTAAAGAATTTTGATTTAATTTAGTGTTTATAAAAAAAAGCGAAATCTTTTGGCATCAATCTAGTAGAGGATTTTTGAGAAATTTTTATGAAAAAATCAAATTGATAATCCTAAAATAGAGCCTAAAATAGCTATTCCCATACCCTTGATCATTAATTAACAAAGAGAACAGATCCTAAGCCTAAGCCCTTAGCTATTCCCATACCCTTGATCATTAACTAACATGGAGAACAGAGCCTAAGCCTAAGCCTAACCAAACCCAAATAGACTTAGTGCGAGGCGCTAGCCGCTAGCCTTCGCACTAAGTCCAAGCTTTTCCATTGTAGGCCTTTCTTTGTTTAAAAAAACCTCAAAATTTAAATGAAAATCCATTTAATTCAAATATATTTTCTTTTGTGAGATGAAAAATCGAATTTTTTATTACTTAAAGTAGTTGAAGGTATTTAGCTGAAAAATGTCGACTTTTTTTAGCCTCAATCTCAATCTTTCTCTGTATGAAAAAGGGGTCAAAAGTGACAGGGATTGATTTTTCGACCCCGAAAAAAGAAATTTGATTATAGCTGAAGATATGGGGGTTTTTTTTTTCTTCATTCAAACTCTTGATCTCATTTTGGCTTAAAAGCTGAAATTTTTTGCCTGCTTTAACAAGAGAAATTGTTTCAGATGAGGCTATCAAGTTTACGATTGTTAATACCGCTCTTTGTTCTCCTTTTGACAGTTAGCACCCGTACTCTCAAAAAATGCGTCTTTGGTATCAAAAAATAGCCCTGAATTTCAGCTATTTTCCGATACCTATGCGCGCATTGTAGCATAAACCAGTATCGAGAAAAACTCGTTCAAAGCTAGACTACGCAACGCTCCACACCGTCATTATCTTTGGTATCAAAAAATAGCCCCGAATTTCAGCTATTTTTCGATACCTATGCGCGCATTGTAGCATAAACCAGTGTCGAGAAAAACTCGTCCAAAGCTAGACTACGCAACGCTCCGCATTAGCTAAAGATATGGGGTTTTTTTTCTTCATTCAAACTCTTGATCTCATTTGGCTTAAAAGCTGAAATTTTTTGCCTGCTTTAACAAGAGAAATTGTTTTCAGATGAGGATATCAAGGTTACGATTGTTAATACCGCTCTCTGTTCTCCTTTTGACTGTTAATGTGAGTTATTTGGACTTATTTGGACTTCATTTTTCATTAATTCACTTTAAATAATGAAAATTTTCAATCTTTTAAGCTGACTAAGAATTCCAGTTTTTTCCCTTGTTTAGAATTTCCCTTTAGGTTTAGAATTTTTTAGAAATTCATCAAAAAAAAGATATTTAAATGCAAATTGGGATAAGATTAGAATTTTTGCATTTAGATTTCATAGTTTAAACTTAATAAAAATGAAATCTATTTAGATTTAAACAATTTTAATTTAGATTTAGACTTATTCATTTAGATTTAGATTTATTTATTTACATTTAGATTCATTCATTTAGCTTTAGATTCATTCGTTTACTTTATTTGATTTATTTATTTACATTTAGAATCGTTTATTTAGATTTAGACTTATTCATTTAGCTTTAGATTCATTTATTTAGATTTAGATTCATTCGTTTACAATTAGATTTATTCATTTAGCTTTAGATTACATTTAGAATCATTCATTTAGCTTTAGATTCATTCGTTTACTTTTAGATTCATTCATTTAGCTTTAGATTACATTTAGAATCATTCATTTAGCTTTAGATTCATTCATTTAGCTTTAGAATCATTCATTTAGCTTTAGATTCATTCATTTAGCTTTAGATTCATTCATTTACAATTAGATTTATTCATTTACATTTAGAAATATTCGTTTACTTTTAGATTTATCAATTTACTTTTAGATTTATCCATTTACATTTAGAATCATTCATTTAGCTTTAGATTCATTCATTTACATTTAGATTCATTCATTTACTACTAGATTTATCCATTTACTTTTAGATTTATTCTATTTAGCTTTAGATTCATTCATTTACATTTAGAATCATTCATTTAGCTTTAGATTTACTCATTTACCTCTAGATTCACTCATTTACATTTATTAGTTTGAGCACAAATTCTTGATAACCCCTATTCCATTTTTTTTGTTTGTTTTATAAATAATTAAAGCACCAGTACAATTAGAATAATTTTTCTCAAATAAAAATTGTTTTGTAGTTTAATTTGCGATCTTTTGAAGCAAATTTAGGTAAATTTTGAAACGAATTTGCGTAAGATGTTCGTTTTTCTGAAAATCTTTCAAACAGACATATAAGCTAAAGCAATTAGACAAATGAAGCTGAGAATTCGGCTAGATGCCTAACTTTTCATGCTCGATCTTTTTTCTATTGACATGAAAATCGATTTCTGTGGTAGAAAGTGCTCAAATTGCTTTATGCTCGAGCTTAAAGCGATTTGAGATTTGCGATTTGAGCACTTTCTTCCACAGAAAACTATCTATGTCAATAGTAAAAAGATACAGCAGTTCACCGTTTCTGACTCACTTCTTTCTATCATAAATCAGCGTTAAAAATTACCCTAGAAAACGGAAAACTCGTTCTTTTGCCAAGATTTTTTCCAGAAAATTGTCGCGCGCCGGAGTCGAACCCTCGACCCTCAGATCGCCGCTAAAAATGAAAGCTGAAAGAGCTCTGAATCGATAAAGCGATTTGAGCACTTTCTTCCACAGAAAACTATCTATGTCAATAGTAAAAAGATAGAGCATTTCACCGTTTCTGACTCACTTTCTTTCTATCAGATACGAAAGAGATTGGGATTCTATGATTCTATGATTCATAAATTCTATTTTTAATGTTTCATTCTTTTATTATACCATTTCTACAATCATCTTTCTACCATAAAAACCTCTAAAAACAAGAGATTTTTCAAATCGCTAAAAACCTACTTTTAGAAAAACAATAGACCTTTATATTAATAAAAACTGTAGCCTATTTGATTCATTAGTTATTTCTTAAAAATCAAAAACCTATCAAGTGTGATCAAGAATTAGAAATTCAACCCAAATAAATTCCTTTCACCTCTCATCTGTTTGAGTGCTCAATCTCTCAAATTGCTCACCCAAGAATTCCTCGAAATTGATCCCAATTTGGGAAAACGAGAAACTCGACACAAAAGAAACTGAAAATCATTCTCTTTCCAAAAAATGAGAATTCCTAAAGAATCAAGGACCTCTAAAAAGCACAAAAAGACATATTTGATACAAATTTTTAAGCTAAAAATAGAAAATGACCTTTAAACAGACTGTGAGACTGATGAACATAATTAGTCATAGTCAAATCAATATTATACTCATACAGAAACATTTGGTAATCTTCTTTTTATTATAAAGTTGATTTAGTCAGCTTATATATCAAATGATGTTGTGAGCAATTACGCTGAAGTTCGCGAACTTCTCTCACAGTATTATCAACGATCAGCCAGAAGAATAGCACACGATTATGTAAGTTGAATTGAAGCTTGAAGTTGAATTGAAGCTTGAAGTTTAAGTGAAGCTTGAAGTTGAATTGAAGCTTGTAGTTGAATTGAAGCTTGGAGTTGAATTAAAGCTTGAAGTTGAATTGAAACTTTGAGTTGAACTAAAACTTGAAGTTGAATTGAAGCTTGAAGTTTAATTGAAGCTTGGAGTTGAATTAAAGCTTGGAGTTGAATTAAAGCTTGGAGTTGAATTGTAGCTTTGAGTTGAACTAAAGCTTGAAGTTGAATTAAAGCTAGAAGCTGAAGTGAAGCTTGAAGTTGAACTAAAACTTGAAGTTGAATTGTAGCTTTGAGTTGAACTCAAGCTTGAAATTGAATTGAATTAGCTTTAATAATCTAATTGTCCTCCTGTAACTTACAGGAATTACATCTAGATTATTAAAGCTAATTAAAGCTAGCTATTCTCGCTATTCTAAGCTAGCTAGCTATTCTAAAGAAGCTGAAGTCAAAAGATTCTATGGTAAGTTGTAGATTTGATTAACTAAAGCTCTTTAAACTGAACAAGTACAGCTTTGTTACCTGAATATACTAAAAAAAGAAAAAAAACTAAGACTTTATCTGTAAACTCTGATATTTTAGGATCCTCGGGCCATTGAAAAAGAAGCTGAAGCCTCACATTTCGACGATGGAACCGAAGCGACGATTAACAGAAAAATTTGGACCGAAGTTTTTGAGCACGACATCATCTTGACACTAGATCAAGCACAGAATTTGTTAAAAGAGCAAAGTAATTTCAAAAATTAGTTTCCTTCAAATTTCTTTTCTAGAAGAAGTTCATTCACGAGGGAAACGACAAGCCGAGCCGAATCCAAGCAAATTCTGGACCAATCTCACAATCTCTTATGAATTCGCAGTCAATGATTGTAAGTTGATAAGTTTATAAGAATCAAATAGCTTTAGCAAAATGGCGTGAACAAATTCGTCAAGCTTTACGACATGTTGAAAGTCAAACTTGTTTCACTTTTCGAGAGGGTGGCATTGACAGGTTTTTTTTTGAGTTGAATGATATCAAAGTCTTAATCAAATTAGACTAATTCCATCATCCAGAGACTGAAAATTAATCTGTAATCTATTTGAAAATCTCGATCTAATGCTTAGATTTTAGAAATCGTCTTCAATTCATACGTGGAAGTGGTTGCTGGTCGAATGTGGGAATGATTGGTGGACGGCAGCAAGTCTCTGTTGGATATGGATGTGAATGGGTGAGTTGTGCAATTGTAGTGACAATCTAGTGGCACTTTAGTGGCAATTTAGTGACATTTTATTGGCACTTTAGTAACAATTTAGTGGCACTTTAGTGACAATCTAGTGGCACTTTAGTCACAATCTAGTGGCACTTTAGTCACAATCTAGTGGCACTTTAGTCACAATCTAGTGGCACTTTAGTCACAATCTAGTGGCACTTTAGTCACAATCTAGTGGCACTTTAGTCACGATCTAGTGGCACTTTAGTCACAATCTAGTGGCACTTTAGTCACAATCTAGTGGCACTTTAGTCACAATCTAGTGGCACTTTAGTCACAATCTAGTGGCACTTTAGTCACAATCTAGTGGCACTTTAGTCACAATCTAGTGGCACTTTAGTCACAATCTAGTGGCACTTTAGTCACGATCTAGTGGCACTTTAGTCACAATCTAGTGGCTCTTTAGTGACAATTTAGTGAAAAACTAATAACTTACATAGTTTTATAATCCTAAAATACTAAATCCTTTAAAATTTTAGCTTGGAATCATCTCCCATGAGACTTTGCATGCACTCGGTCTATGGCACGAGCAATCTCGATACGATCGTGACAACTACATCTCTTTAGTCACTGGGAATATTATTCGGGTAAATAATATGTAAAGTTTGCATCAATTAACTCAAAAATGTTTAGGGAACCATTGGTAACTTTGAGAGAAGAACTCCATCCACTAGTGACAATATCAATCAACCATATGATCTTGGATCTGTTATGCATTATGGACCAAAGGCTTTCACTACGGATTGGAGCCAGTTGGTTACCGTAAGATTCTAGTTTAGTGCTTTTTTTAGGAACACCATCACTACCAAGGACGCAAATTTTCAAAACACAATCGGACAAAGAGATGGATTGTCGTTTAAAGATGCTAAGATGATAAACACGAGATATTGCACAAGTTGGTTACACTCTTCAGCTATTCTTAAGCTATTCTTAAGCTATTGCTCAGCCATTGTTCAGCTATTGTTAAGCTATAGTTAAGCTATAGTCAAGCTATTCTTAAGCTATAGTTAAGCTATACTTAAGTTATTCTTAAGCTATTCTTAAGCTATAGTTAAGCTATTGTTAAGCTATTCTTAAGCTATTGCTAAGCTATTCTTAAGCTATTCTTAAGCTATAGTTAAGCTATAGTTAAGCTATTCTTAAGCTATTCCTAAGCTATAGTTAAGCTATTGTTAAGCTATTGTCAAGCTATAGTTAAGCTATTGTTAAGCTATTTTTAAGCTATAGTCAAGCTATTGTTAAGCTATTCTTAAGTTAAGCTTGTCTACAATAACTTTATCTAACTTTATTTTTCAGGAGTTTGCCCATACAATCTTCCATGTCAAAATGAAGGCTACACTGATCCAAACAATTGTTACTATTGCCGATGTGCTCATGGGTATGGAGGACGTTACTGTGAGCATGTAGAATATGGTAAGTAATAGTTCATATTAGTCTCAAAACTTTTACTGGACTTTTTAAATTAAACCTTTTAGTGCCTGGGAGTGTTGGTGGTGAGCTGATTGCCTACGATTCCTGGTACAGAATCATCAGCGAGTTTTTGAAGCCCGAGACCAATACTGTCTACCGAATTAGGGTGAATTCAACGATCAAACACAAAAAGAAACACCAAAAATACCCTATCTTTATAGATTTTGAATTTTGAATCACTTTTGCAATGAATTAAAGCTTTTCCAGGCAGCGCCAGGTCAACGAATCGAGCTTCTCTTTGAGGAGGTGTCTTTCCTTTGCAGAGATACATGTAAATCATATGTTGAACTCAAGTACAAGGCCACAAAGACTCAAGCTGGTGGGTTTTTATTGCATAAATTTCAAATTAGTTACATGCAAATTACTAATTTTTTTTCTCGAAATATCCTGGATTCAAGAATGGAAGATGATTGGATAAATTACTGGCACAGCGATTTATCCAGTCAACTCAAATTAAATGCAGATTTGGGATGTCAGTGATAGATGATAAAAATTACGGGGATAAAATAGTTTGGGTGCTTTTCGGTTTCGTTGAATTCGGTACTTTACGGATAACGGGGAGTAAGTTTTTTGGTCAACTTGCAACCCGATTTTAGATAAGTTTTTGTTAGCAAATAGTTTCTGAAAGCTGAAAGCTGACGTTCTAAGCTTTCTATTAAAATTTCTATTTCTATTTTATTCTATTTTATTCTATTTCTTTCTTTCTATTAAAACTTTCTGATCTGCTTTCTGAGCTAAAAAGCTATCGTTATCGGAACCGAAATCTGTAATTGGAAAGGAGCGGTCAGAGGCTAAGCCATGCCCAAAATTTTGATCGCTTTTCGATACCCCAAAGCTTTCAACAATTTTTTTCCCGTTATTCTTCGAAACACTCCTTTTTCATAGCCATTTTATCGTTCCTCTTTTTTGTTTTCTTTTCAAAAATCTCTCCATTCTCTGATCAAAAACCGATAATAGATATAGATAAGAGTTTCTTTTAAATTCATCCTGTAATTAAACAGGGAACAGATGGGGGTATTCTCCAGAAGACAGGATGGGGGTATCCTCCAGAAAACAGGATGGGGGTATCCTCCAGAAGACAGGATGGGGTATCCTCCAGAAGACAGGATGGGGGTATCCTCCAGAAGACAGGATGGGGGTATCCTCCAGAAGACAGGATGGGGGTATCCTCCAGAAGACAGGATGGGGGTATCCTCCAGAAAACAGTCTTTTCCATGCCGTTGGCAATAAAAACCAGACAAACCCCTAAGTCCAACAGAGCCAAATCTTATTCAATACATTTATTTATATCATAGGTGCCCGTCTCTGTTGCAAGACCCCATCCACTCCGATCATCTCCGAGAACAACGAGGTTGTCGTGATCTATCGTGGAGAGGATAGCCTTCCCGATGGCTATCATGGATTCACTCTAAGATACAGAATTTGTAAGTTTTCTTTGAAATCAAAAGTTTCTAACTTTACTGCTTGAAAGCTTGTAGTGCATGTCTTTCAATGAATCTCTTTTCCTTTATAACATTTTCGGTTTTCATTTTCAAATTTTCGTCGAAAACAGTTGGTTTGATAATATAAATTGAAAATTTTTCATTTAAAAACTCGATTCTAAAGTGACCAATTGTTTTTGCACACAAAATTTTGCTTTCCTTTTCAAATTTTCGGTTTCAAGATAAGGTACGAGCGATGAATTCGGTGAAAGTTCGTGTGAGAGCGCCGGCAAAGACAAAAGCTCCGCTGAAAGATTGGAAATTGTTGAAAGCTTTGGAGTATCGAAAACCGATGAAGAAATTCGAGAATAAGAAAACGGTGGAAGGAAATCAGATTTCCGAGTTCGTCCTTCGAGATCCACCGCAGACAATTGCAGTCCTTCGAGATCCAACGCAGACACCGCAGACAATTGCAGCCTCGTTGGGTTGTGGTGAGTGATTTGGGGTGCATGAAATCACCAACTAACCAAACATAGCTTTTTTTTGTACTTTTAAATGGTTAGCTAAAGCTTTGGTTTAGATGGATCACCGGAGAAGAGTCTGGAAACGATTCCCACCGCTAAACCTCAGCCACCAACTGGCTTTGTTGATACGAGATCCACTGTGGCTCCGAGAACAACGGAGAGGCCAACAACAACGGTTTGTGAAAATTAGATTATTCGACTTATGAAAGAAATGTAGGCAATGCTAAGTTTACATTGAAAAATTTGAGATACTAATACCGAAGAATTGCTGCTTCTTGAACTGTGGTCAATTTTTGAGTCTTGCACTATCAACTAGTCATTTATCTAGTTAACAATAAGTTTAGAGTCATTAAACTAGTTACACAGCTATTTGTATCAAGCTTTTAGTCTATAAAGAAGTGAAGGAATTGGCAAAGAAAAAGTAGATTTCGGGAGAGGGGATTGAACCCTGAACCTTTTGCTTTCCAGGCAATTGCACTAACCACTGAGCTATTCGATATGTGGGTAAATCCGCAAGTGAAAGTAACACGTTTAGATCCGTAAGATGGGTAAATATGCAGAGTTAACTCCCTCTAGAGGAAGGGAGGTCAAGTGCGTTGTGGTGTAATGGTTAGCACAGTTGCCTGGTAAGCGAAAGGTCGCAGTTTTCGAGTCCCGGCGGTGCGCAAGTTTTTGCTCTGCGTTAGTTCTGACTGGCGACCACGGAAGGATGGGCTTTGCAATGCTGGCTAAGGTCTTCAGACCTAGTTTCGCAATCCAGGCCTATAAATCGAGACGTTTGGAACCGTCTCGTCGAGAGAGGAGGGAACTTAATACCCTCTGGAGTAAGGGAGGTCAAGTACGTTGTGGTGTAATGGTTAGCACAGTTGCCTAGTGGGCGAAAGGTCGCGGGTTCGAGTACCGGTGGTGTGCAAGTTTTTGCTCTGCGCTATTTCTAACTGTGGGATGGAAATGTAGTATTGGCGTTTTTGGGGATAAAGTGTTAAAACCATGTTTTCTTATCAAATACTATCAAAATAGTTTTTGTAAGTTTTCGTTATTTCCATAGTCTATTTCCAGACAGTCATTACTTCAACAACAGAGGGATCAACTACAGGAATGTGGGGTGATTGGGGTGATTGGTCGACGTGTTCACACGCTTGTGGAGGATGTGGAACAAGGCTACGAATCAGAGCTTGTTATAAGGGAAATAGACAATGCCTGTAAGTAAGATGAGAAAAATCGGGAATTATTCAAATATCAGTGGTGAGAGTAAACAAGAAGAGCCTTGTAACATTCACGAGTGTCGATACCCGAAGAAAGAAACGATTTCAACTGGGTCATGTCAAGGAAGAATCGTTCTTCCGTGCGATCTCATGGAGAAATTGTACTTTGGACAACGGCAAAGAGATGGTTTGTAGAAAAAGCTTTGAGTTTTTTGTAATTGGTGCACTAGAAATGATGGTTTTTCTATTTTTAAGCTCTCAATTTTAGAAACGGCTCGTTTCAAACGATCACTTGGCGATCCGAATAATTGTGAGAAGTGAGTAATCTTGCTAGATATAAAAGAGAAGTATCTATCCGTCTGTACAAGCTAAAAGATTGAAATTCTTTTAATCTCAAACTATAATATATAGTCAAATCTCGATTTAACGATTCTTAAGAGATCGCGATACTTCATTGTTAAATCGAATGTCTTTAGAAGGTAAATAGAAGCTTAAATAGCTTTCAAGGCATCAAAAATTAACATCGTTAAATCGAGGTTTGACTGTAGTTGGGCTATTTCAAATCAAAAATTCAAAACTAAAAATCGAGGGGCACTACGGGGAGTCGAACCCGGGACATGTGGGTCGTAGAGAAGCGCGCTCCCAACTGCACTAGACATTGCTAGGCAGAAAGCTCGACTCGTTGAAACATAAGCCATAAGGCAGCTTTCTTGATTCAAATTTTGTATCAATCAATATATAAAGCAGAAGAGATTGTTTTTGTTAAAAAATAATTTTTTTTTTTTTTTTTTTAGTTTTTTTTGTAAATTTTTCAAACAAAGGGGGGTTTATAAATAAAAAAAAAATTTTATTATTTTTTTTTCTCCTCTTTTTTTTTTTTTTTTTTTTTTTTCTTTTTTTTTTCTTTCTTTCCGTTCCTTCTTTGGCCCTTCTCCCCCGTTGGCCCCCTTCTTTTTTTTCCGTCTTTTCGTCCGTCCCCTCTTCCGTCCTTGGCCCCTTCCTCCTTTCTTCCCTCCGCCCCTGGGGTCGGCCCTTCCTCCTTCCTTCCTGCCCTTCCTCCTTTTTTTTTTTTTTTTTCTTTGGTTCCGTTCTTTTTCTTTTCCGTCTTTCGTCTGTCTGTCTGTCTGTCATTTGTTTGTCTCTCTGTCTGTCTGTCTGTCTGTCACAGGCACTTTTCTCGACGCCCAGATCGAATTTCGAGATGGAGTTTTTTTTGTTCGATAGGAAATTTTATGCTGATTCCGCTCTTAAAAGAATCAAGAAAACCTATCCAACCAATTTTTTTAAAACTCTAAAAACTGCAAAACTAGCCGAGCCCAACGTTGCCTAACTTCCCCTCTGCGCGCAGATGGCCGAGTGGTTAGAGCGCGCGTCTCTCAAACGAGCGTGAGAAAGAGGGGTCGTGGGTTCGGTCCCTCTCCGAGAAAATTCGTTTTCTTTTCTTTTCAAAATGGATTTTAACTATTGGAAAGTCAATTTCGTTAGTTTTCGACTATATAAAAGGGAAGAGACGTCCGTCTGTCCAAATAAAATGATGCACAACATTGTCTGCACTAAAATTCTCGAATAAACTATGGAAAAATGAAGCAAATAGCCTTTTTAGGGCTCCATGGCCCCCAGCCACAGAACTTTGATCTGGGTCATGGGGGAGAGTGTTCCTAGATTCCTAGACCTCAGCGTGGTCCTCCGCGAAGATTCCCATATTTGGGATGAGCTAACTATAGGAGTTGGTTTAAAAACAATTTGGATAAATGAAATAAATGGATCGCCGACTACATTCAGCCCCAACTTTCCAGCAGGAAAAGCGGCGTTAGCCGAAAAGATTCCTGTTTAGACTATCGATTGACATGAAGACAAGGATTATAAATTTACGAGAGACCTCAACCGGCAGCAGTTTTCAGTTAGGAGCTGAAAACTGCTGACAACTTTACAATTCAATTGTTAAGCGTAACTTTATAAATCTTTCTTTAGGCCATTCGAATACGCTTGTCCAACTGGCCTCCTAACAATTCATCTTGATTGGCGAGGCAACTCGGATCCACAAGCTGGTTTGTTTTTTTTAGAATTGTTTAAGTATACTAGATGAAATGCCAATATGCTACTACCGTATTTCTTCGAATAGAAGACCGGGTAAAGAGTATGATCGCGTACTCTTGCGTAGCAGCCCTTTTTAAAATTTCTTTTCTGCATAAAAGCTTTCAATGAAGTGCTATAGGGCTGGAAAATGGCTCAAAAATCTGTTAGCTCATATGGTATTTTTGAGTCATTTTCCAGCTCTATAGCACTTCATTGAAAGCTTTTATGCAGAAAAGGAATTTTTAAAAGGGCTGCTACGCAGGAGTACGCGATGATACTCTTTGCCCGGTCTTCTATTCGATACATTATGCCAGAATATTCTTATAATTCATTATCACAAAATCTTAGATCCACCAGCGTGCTGCGAAGGATACTATGCGAATGGAGGAAATTGTTATAAGTATTAATTCATTTTTTTTCTTTATTCAACGATTTATTTACCTCATAAAATGCAATTTCCATTATTCTTCATTCACTTTTTAATGAAAGCCTTATTCTTTCTTCTTTCTTTCTCTTTCTTTCTTTCTTTCTTTCTCTTTCTCTTCATTTTTTGTGCCTTCTTATCTTTGTTGCCATTTATATAAAAAAAAAATAAATTATTAGCGTTAAACAGAAAGTTCAAAGATTTTGCAATTGGAGAAAAGAAATTTGCTAAAGTTTTTCGTCTTTTTTTTGCTTTGAATTGAAAGAAGTTATATTGGAGATTTTATTGAAAAGAAAAACAAAACGAGAATATTGATTTATGATGAAAGAAAAGGCTTTTCTTTGACCAAAAAATTCGAATCTCTCACCTTTACCCGCCAAAATTAATGAAGCAACCGCATATGATCTTTTGTGTGCCTTTTTCCCCTATTCCTTTTCTTTCAAAATCAAAAATCACGCTTTTATGTGTAATCTGTGGCTTTTGCGTGATCCTGGTTGATTCATTGGTTGATTCGACTTCGTATTTTCAGTTTTACTTAGTAATTTCAGTTTTTCAGACTTGGTACTTTCAGTTTTACCATTTGTAATTAAATGGGAGAATTCGTGGTGCTCGATTCGGGAAAGAAGGTGGGAAAATTTTGCTGTTGATATGTTTTGTGTTAACATTGTCAGTCTTTGCATAGCTAACGTTAGTTTTAAAGCGAAAAAGGCTAGACTGCAGTTTACCTCCCCCCAGCCAATGACCAATGACCATCAAAAGTGGTTTTTCTGACTCAGTTTTTTTGCGCTGATTACGAATATCTTCATCGCCGAATTCGAAGAAAAATTTTTAACTTTTTTGATTTTTTGCCTTGGTCCCCCAAGGAAATATTTTTCAAAGAAATTAAAATTTTCCAAAAAAACGTTCGGAAACCCCTGCTAGGCCAGATGGCCGACCGGTTAGGAGTCTTGTCTCTTAAGCGGAAGGTCGAGGGTTCAATCACTCTGGCAAAGATAAAAATGTTTCTTTTTCCCACCAAGTGGGTTTTTTCTTTCACAACATTTGGATAATAGGGGTAAATAGGGGTGAGAACGGCCGCAGTGCCATAAAATTGTGTGTTTAACCTTTATGTCTTATTATGTACCCTTTGTTTGTATCACATTATTGGTTTTCAATAAATGTATTTTTAAACGTTCGGAAACCCCTCAAACCCTTCGTAGCTTGATCAGGGGAATTTGTGATACTTTGGGGTGAATTGATGAAGAGTATCGGAAATTTATGCTCCCCCATTGCATGATTTGCAAATTTCTCAAAAAAACTTTCATTCTTTGAGTTGACGTTGGTTATCGCCCCTCTTCTGGCACACAAAAGATCATATGCGCTTGCCCAATTTTAAGGTCAATTTAAAAAGTGCTTTCCTCAAGTAGCACTTGTTCTTTTTCAAACCAAAAACCTCATACTATATTCGAAGGGATGTACCTAAAGAAATGGAAGAAAAGAACAAAAAACAAAGCTGGGAAATCAAGTGGATACACAATCTAACTAGAGATTTTCAAATCGGAAAATTTCTAATACATTCTTTGAGAAAAACGTTTGGTTTTGTTGTTCATCTAATAAAAACACAAAAAATTTGGAACGCTTCACGAATTTGCGTGTCATCCTTGCGCAGGGGCCATGCTAATCTTCTCTGTATTGTTCCAATTTTAGTATATGTTCATAGGAATGAACGGGCTCTGTGAAAGGGAAGTCCTTTTTATCACCCCTTGTAAAGGAGAGGGCCAGAAGGCGAGTGATTACGTGGCAACACAGAGAACATTTATAAGGAGAGGCTTTGTAAAGGGCAATTGTTACTTTTTAAAGTGTATTTTGTTTTAAAAGTCATTTAGTACTAAAAGAAGTACAAGATTCTAATATTATGATGAATTAATAGTCAAGAAATGGTCCAGAAATGACCCAGAAAAAGTGTTTTCTAAATTAAGGATAAAATTTAACTCAAAGTCCAAAATTCGGTACCAAACAACACTTTTGATAGATTCTTTGAGAAAAGCGTTTGGTTTTGTTATTCATCTACTAAAAACCCAAAAAATTTGGAACGCTTCACGAATTTGCGTGTCATCCTTGCGCAGGGGCCATGCTAATCTTCTCTGTATTGTTCCAATTTTAGTATATGTTCATAGGAATGAACGAGGCCGATAGAAGGGAAGTCCTTTTTATGACCCCTTGCAAAGAAGTGGGCCAGAAGGCAAGCGATTATGTGGAAGCACAGAGAACACTCATAAGGAAAGGCTTTGTAAAGGAAAATTGTACTTTTTAAAGTGTATTTTGTTTTAAAACTTACTAACTTAATGGAGTACAAGATTTTAATGCCACTGGGTTTAGTTTTAATTCATTTCATAGCTTTTGTTTGATTGTTTTCCAACTTTCATCACATTCTCATTCTTTCAAATCTCAGCTGATCTCTGAAAATGATTCAACTGTTTGACTGATCAAATTTGAAGCTTTTTCAGGGTCAGGACGGCTCTCAATGAAGTGAAAAGGGAAAAAAAAGGTTGTGGGGGCGTTAGTTCGAGTTCACAGTGAAGCTAAAGATATCTTAAATTCTCTTCAATTCTCTAATCCTTTGTTGATCGAAAGAGATTTCTCTCGAATCCTCTCAAGAGGGCCTTCTTGTGGGCGGATGAGGGGAATAAGTTGACACCGTGAAAAAAAGGAAGAAAAGCGGGTAGGAGACTTCAGTTCCCTTCAATCCTTCAGTCCTTCAGTCCTTCATTTCTTCATCATTTCTACAGACAGCTATGGGAGGAGAAGACGTGAGTTACTGTAGTTTTATCATCGTTTTAATGCGAGATTTTTCTTTTAATTGATAAATGATTGATTTTCCAGCATGATAGACGAAATTTTGCCTAAATTTTATTCTGTTTTCATTAGCTCTGAACAAAACCTTTGATTTTTAAAAACTAGCTTGTTAAAAAGGTTTTTATTGAAGCTAACTTAAGCTAAAGCTCTCAAAATCACAAAATATTCAGCAGGCTTTTTAAAAGAACATCAATAAACTATTTAGATCTATCATAGAATATTCAATTTTCAGGATTATTCGGCCGATGAACGCCGCGAGCGCCGAAGATGGAATCTCGAGCAGCTCAAGGGAGGAAACACCTTCCTCTCCATGCAGGTATAGAAATTTAGATTTTAAAAAAACGATATCCAGCCTACAGTACTTTATTTAAATGAAAATAAAGACAAAATAAAGGTACTCAGCTTATCACACTTCATTTAAATCAACAAAATGCTTTGTTCAGGCTGCAACGAACAAATTCGACTCGCAAAGAGGCATGACTGGAATCGGTATGCCTCGATGGAACATCACCAAGGATAAGAAACTTGGGTTAGTCGTTTAATTTGAAAGCTCAATACTTACAGCAATCTCTTAGTTGCATAGCTTTATTGCATAAATTGAGCTCAACAAATACAATATCCAATTTTCAGCTACATCGACCCCGATCGTCGATCCGAGGGCGTTCTCCGCGTACAATGCGGAACCAACCAATACGCTTCGCAAAAGGGAGAGACTCCAATGGGAGCTGGAAGAAATCAAGTATAGTTTATCAATTTTCACAAAATATCTTTAAAAGTAATTCAGTGCCCAAATGTAACTTACAAGAAAGATTGGGAAACAATCCTTGACAAGGAGGGAGAAAAGCTCATGCCGAAACAGGCTGGAGACTTTGGATACGCTACCCAAGCTGGAGAGATCTCTATGGGAGCTCACAGAAATCAGGTGATTACTGTAAATGATTAAATCTGGATCTTAAGTTTAAAATATCCAAATATCTTTTAAATCTTAGGTTCCAAATATTCGTGGCCGTCTTCCACATGATCGAAGAACTCATGGAGTCCTTTGCTACCAATATGGAACCAATGTTTTCGCTTCCCAACAAGGAATGAGCTGCCCGCCTGGAATCGGAGCCGTCCGACAGGCTACAATGTACATCGAGGGTCTCGGATTCAGGTAAAGTGAATCAACAGACAATTCTAACAACAATCTACTATTTATAGTGTCTGTCTGTTTGTACAGGCATTTTCTCAGACGTGTTTTGACTTCTAAAAGCTAAAACTTCTTTAGAAACCATTAGATTATGTTATAGTTACGTCATTTTAAATAAAAATCCAAAAAAGCAGGGTGGCAAGGCAGAGCCGGGGGTCGAACCCGGACCTTGCGGGTCATAGAAAAGGGCCCTCCCGACTGCGCCACTACGTCCATGGGCTAAGCCCAAAAGATCCAGCTAGAAATACCTGTTGCTAGGCGTTTCGGCTGGTTCAGTAAATTCAGTGATTCTAGAGAGAAACAGTTAAAATCATAACAAAATAGTGAACTAAACTTTCAAATCAAAACTTTAGCGAGGACAACCTCCGCAAGGGAACCGAGTACACCCCGTGGTACTCTGGACAGAACAAATTTGCCTCGCAAAAGGGATCCGGTGGCTTCTTGAAAGTTCGAGATGTACTCCCACACACTGTGGTTCGTTTTTTTTGATTCGATTTAAAAGATTGCTAAAACTCTCTAGGGTGGAAAGGACATTGATGAGGAGAAGAAGCAACTCTCTGAGGGTATCGTCCCACTTCAATCCGGCACCAATCGATTGGCCTCACAAAAGGGAATGACCAACTTTGGCACACCGAGAAACACCCTTCTCAAGCAGGGATGGAAGAAGGAATGGTTAGAATTAAAGCTTGCCTTTGACTTTATTCATTTCAGATGGAAGAAGGAATGGTTAGAATTCAAATTTCCCTTTAACTTTATTCATTTCATCACTAATCATTTAGTTGTTTGTCTTAAAATTTCCAAATCTTATTGATCAATATTTCAATCAACTTTCCTTCTTTCGTAAATCCCAGCTTGACGAAAAGGTCAAGTAGGACTGTTTGATGGATTCTGAAAAGCCACCTGAAAAACCCTAGGCAAAAAAAAAGTGGGGACTTTTACAAACAATATGGGAAAGAGTGGGGATAGATTGAGAGATTTCTCTATTGACACGGAGAGGAAAGTGAATGTGGCGCACTCATTTCAGCCAAGGAAAAGATGAGGGAGACTCCTTGAGCCACAAAAAAAAGAGATCTCTTCATCCCAATGGCCAAACAACCAAAAGACTTATTTGATGAATAGAATTTAGAGAGAAAAGTATTGATCGTTTTTATCAAAGTCAAGAAAAGATTGTAATTGCAGACTGGATAAGAATGGAAATTTGTTTGCAAAGTAAAAGATAACAGAAAAGTTTGCCTTTAACTTTATTCATTTCCTTCTGGACACTAATCCTTCTGGGTAAGAATGGAAATTTGTTTGCAAGGGGTAAAAGATAACAGAAAAGTATCTAATAATATAAAAAAGGCGGATTTTATAAGTCTAAACTTCCAAGAAAGATATCTAGACTATAATATGAATTGATAATCAATTGGTTCAGATAAAAAACTGTTCAAATCTTTTCCAGGATTGAGGATTATGAGTCGGCGTTGCGTGAATGGGAAGAGAACCGTCCACCAGGCTCAGCTTCATCTGTTGATCCATTTGGTCATTACAAGAAGAAGTTCGAAGACAGAGAGGTTTCCAAAGTATAAAGTTTCTTTCAATTTTCATTAATATTTCTAGAAATCCGTTGAGAAACCGGGGGTAAGTGTTGTTTGAACAGTTTGAAGTTTGAACAGTTCACAAAACAGTTTGAAGTGGAAAATAGTTCAGCGCACAACGTTTTACACTCACAGTTTAATCACAGAAAATCACAATTTTCGAGTTTTTCAACACATTAATAGAGAATAACAGATAAACTAAAAGCTTTTTTTTTTTAGTCAACCCGTCAATCAGAAGCCGATGTAATGTCGGTGAAAGCACACAGTGAGAAAGCTGAAGAGCCTGAAGAGGTTGAAGAAGAAGAAGAAGAGGAAGAAGAGAAGGTGAGTTGAATTATTTTCTAAAGAAAAGCTAGGCTTTCATAGATTTTTTGACTATTCTTTAAAATCTAACTTCAAAATATTACAATAAAGAATAAATAGCAATTAAAATAAAATAAAGAAATAGGAAAATAAGAATCTGCAAAGTTTTAGACTCCGGAACCAGTGAAAGAGGCTGTTGAAGAGGCTGAAGAAGAGGAAGAAGACGCTGGTGAAGAGGAAGAATATGAAGAGGAAGAGGAAGAGGAAGAAGAAGAGGTACTTTAAATTATCAAGAGATCAAGATTTACTTCTTTTTTTTACTCATTTATTAAACTAGAATCTATTGATTTAACTGGCTTCTTCTCGGGAACTTAGCCTACTTTCCTTTCCGAGATCGACAACTACAATACTATTTAGCTACCGTATTTTCTCTAATAGCATTGCACCTTGAGCGTCACCTAAATTCCTCGAAATCTCGAGAACCGCTTATCAGAACCTATCGATGTGAGGGCGGAAAATGTAGCTGACAATGAGATCTAGTGGGGGAATAGAGTGTTGAGCTTCTGTGAAAACTTTGGAAACCGTAAAATCGTCACCAACTCAGCTCGCCGGGGTGCACTAGAGAAAATACGGTAGCTAAATAGTATTGTAGTTGTCGATCTCGGAAAGGAAAGTAGGCTAAATCCCTGAGAAGAAGTCAGTTAAACCAATAGATTCTTGTTTTAAAAACCTCAATTCTATAAGTTTCTTTATTTGATTTGAGTTTAGGTAAACTAAACTTTTTCTACCGTAATCCTAATAAAATTCAGGAGTAGAACTCACCACCGCGACGAATGAAAGCCAAAGCTGTTCCCCTCAAAAAACTCTTTAGAAGAAAAGTCTTCTAAAAGTCTAATCTAAAAAAAGAAACTAAAAATTCATCAAATTTCAATCAATCAATTCTTTACTTTTCTTTATCTTTCTTTACTTTTCTTTTCTTTTTTTCATTTCTAAACTCTTCTCGGTGTCTTTTTCTCCGGTTTTTATCTTTTCTATAAAAATTTTTAATAAAACTTTTGAAAAAAAACAATATTTCTTGTTGTATATGATGAACTTTGTAGAAAAAATAAATTTTTGGAAATAAAAAATGAATTTAATTATAAAATAGAACATTTTAGTACCGAATTGGAGTTAATTACAACATTTTGACTTGGATTTTGATGGACTTTGAGTTAAATTTGTCCTTAATGTCCTTAATGTCCTTAATGTCCTTTTGTCCTTTTGTCCTTTTGTTCTTAATTTAGAAACACACTTTTTCTGGACACCAATAAATGTCAGGCCTAAACGGTTCAACACTTTTTTCTGCACACTTATATTATTTTCTTTGCTATAGGCATTAAAGAGAGAATCAGAAGTATAGAGAAATGGCAACAGTTACTTAAACATTACTTAATCATTACTGCATTAAAGAGTTACAGTTACTTAATCAGTCAAAAATAAATTGACTTTGTTAACCATAAATTCATAAAACATTAATTTAGAAACACACTTTTTCTGGACAATTTCTTGATCATTTCTGGACCATTTCTTGACTATTAATTCATCATAATATTAAAATCTTGTACTTCCTTAGTACTAAGTAACTTTTAAAACAAAATACACTTTAAAAAGTACAATTTTCCTTTACTAAGCCTTTCCTTGTCAGTGTTCTCTGTGCTGCCACGTAATCCCTCGCCTTCTGGCCCCCTCCTTTACAAGGGGTCATAAAAAGGACCTCCCTTCTTCCGAGCTTGTTCATTCCTATGAACATATACTAAAATTGGAACAATACAGAGAAGATTAGCATGGCCCCTGCGCAAGGATGACACGCAAATTCGTGAAGCGTTCCAATTTTTTTGTGTTTTTTAAGTAGATGAACAATAAAACCAAACGTTTTTCTCTAAGAATTTATGAGAAATTCTTTGATTTGAAAATCTCTAGTTGGATTAATGACACGCAAATTCGTGAAGCGCTTCAAATTTCTTGTTTTAACGATTTGATGAGTTTTTTTGCTTTCAAAAAACAAACTAAAGAAGTTTTGGTCTTTTTTAAAACAAATCAAATGTTTAGATTCGTAAAGATAGAAAGAATATGAGAATTTGAAGTTAGATATGTTTCTTGGAGAGCAATGGTTGCTTCATAGAACTAAAATGAAGATTTGAAATGAAAAGTGACCCTCAAAAACTGAAATCACTTGACATGAATGGTTAAAAGTGAAGCAAGACAGAAATAAGGAAGAAAAAAATAAGTAAAGGGGTTATGAAAGTGAGTGAAGGGCATGTCTCGAGTCTCAGCTGGCTGCTAACTGAAAAAAGGGTAAGAGAAAGGGCTTTTCTGGGTCAAAAACTGTCACCCGCAATAGGTGAATGACCAAAAAGGAAAAGAAAGAAGGAAGAGAAGTATTGAATAAGTATTACACTACATTCACTACATTCACTCACTTGCAAGATTTCAGATTGGAAATCGATTTAAAAATGAATGATTGCAGATTATAAAAGCAAAAGTTCAAGGAAGTTCTAAACTAGACTTGTTGTGCATAATTTTTGTTAACGCATCCTTTCTGGGAAACTAGAATTTGTTTATTCAGAATCTACATTTAATAGCTTATCTCAAATAATAAAAATGACAAAAATTACAAAAAAAACTTGGACCGATTCCCTCTAATCAAGGTAAATTATAGGGTTCCGTTCAAAAAAGTTAATTTGTTGTTGAAAGTGAATGAGAGACGATTATTTTGTTTGGGAGATCATGGTTTTATGAGTCTATTGTGTTGTGGATTGTCCTTGAATCATCCATTACATTAATGACACCGACAAATATTAAGGACATGTAATTATGTGAAGATTTGAAGGAAGAAAGGGGATTTATCATGAATTTGACTTCATCTAATACTTGTTTTTGACACAAGAAAGGTTATCTTAAGGATTTGACACAAGAAAGGTTATGAGAATCTTGACACAAGGAAGGTTATTTGAAGAATCTTGACACAGGAAAGGTTATCTAAAGAATGATTTTTTTTGGAGATCATGGTTTTATGAGTCTATTTTGTTATGGATTGCCCTTGAATCATCCATTACATTAATGACATAAATGGTTAAAAGTAAAGAAAGACAAAAAATAAGTAAAGGGATTATGAAAGTGAGTGAAGGGCATGTCTCGAGTCTCGAGCTGGCTGCTAACTGAAAAAAGAGTAAGAAAATTAGCAATAGAGAAGATTAGCATGGCCCCTGCGCAAGGATGACTCGCAAAGCGTTCCAAATTTTTGCTTTTAGCATTTGATGAGAGCTTTGTTCACTTCTAGTTTTCTAATTTCAAAGCTTTTTTTCAAAGCTCAAAATCTCTCCCTTTTTACTTAGAGTCACATTTTTCGATTTTAAAATAAGGAAAAATTCTAGGAGGTGAGTGTTGAGCTAAGCGTTCGTCTCTCTCTTCTCTCTTCCACCTTTCCCCTTCTTCATCTTTCAGCAATTACTCCCAAAAAAGAAAAGGTGACTCTGCCAAATACTTTTGTGCAAAGCACTTTCTCTTTTTTTTCATTCCTTCTCTCTTTTCTTTTTACTTTTTACTTGTTCCGATTGAAATCGAGCATTTTCTTTTCTTTTTTTTCTTTTCCTATATTCTCGAACCGTGTGTTTCCACTTTGTAGAATTCTCTGTATGAAATTTTTTCCGTCTCCGTTTCACCAATTTTTTTTTTTTTGGGAAATTTTGATTGAAAGGTGGTTTTTGATCCGACTTTCATCCTCTTTTTAGCCTTTTTAAAATTGTTTAAACCTAAACAAACTCAAATTAAACGATGAGCAGTTTAAAATTGAACTAGACTCTAGCCTGATCTTAATAGATTTAGTTTGGAATGTCTTTTTGTTTAGATTTTGCTTTGTTTCGTTTATTTGTTTGTTTATAATTTGTTTAGAATAGTTAGAGGCTTGAAAAATGATTAAAATTATTTTCCAAAAGCTTATTTTTTACTTTTTATTATTGGATTACCTCGAAATTTGTCAAAATTTGGTTCTCTAATCTGATATTTAAAAAAAGATACAGTAAATACTGTAATAGTACCCCACCCCCCTCGTACAGTCGCGTAGTCGCAAAAGTTTTTAGTATTTTTAGTATTTAATTTTTTTCAAAGCGCCTGTACTTTCAAAAAATGTGTCTTTGGTATCAAAAAAAAGCCCTGAATTCCAGCTATTTTTTGATACCTAAGCGCACTTTGTAGCTTAAACCAGTATCGAGAAACACTCGTTCAAAGCTAGACTACGCAACGCTCCGCACCGTCATTATGAGGGTGCGGTACTATTACAGTATTTGCGGAAGTTATTGCAAAAATGGACTCCTCTAAAAGCTGGATACTACCGTATTTTTACCATTTAGCAAAAATTTGGAAGTAGTTAGCGATGCGCCTAAGCTACATATCTCTAGAGAGCTTGCAGCACCTACCCCTGGCCTGCCTATTTTTCAAAGCGCCTGTACTTTCAAACAATGCGTCTTTGGTATCAAAAAATAGCCCTGAATTTTCAGCTATTTTTTGATATCTTAACGCGCATTGTAGCATAAACCAGTGTCGAGAAAAACTCGTTCAAAGCTAGACTACGCAACGCTCCGCACCGTCATTATGAGGGTGCGGTACTATTACAGTATTTACGGTAAGTGTTTAGTTTACGTGAAAATGGTTAAACTAGATTTTATTGGATTGATAGTGAGAGAAATTATATAATTCATATACTAGAATGACTGAGAATGAGTGAAATTATTCTCACAAGCTTACTTTACTTTCTTACTCTCTCTCTTTCTCTTTCTTTTTCTTCAAACAAGAGGATTGACCTTACCCATCATTTCTTTTTTTCTATTTTGACAGATTAGCTAAATCTCGTCAAAACCATTGTCAAACTTTCGTCTCGAGTGAAAGTAGTGAAATAAAGTGAAAGTTTTGGGAAACTCCTATGCAAATTTCTTCACCAACTCAAATATTGATGAAAACGAAGTGACCCATTTCTTTCTTTCTTTCTTTTCCTTAACTTCATTACTTGTTTACTCAATGTTCTTGAAGAATTGTGTCAAGAACGTTTACTCTAAAACGGATATTTTGTCTAGTGTCTAGTGAAAGCTCAGTTTTTCTTATGTCCTAAATTTTTGATTTATTTGAATCCTTGAAAATCTTCACTCACTTTCTATTAGAGCACCGCCCATTAGATCTTTTCAATCCTTGTGAAATCATTGAGCTTTCCATTTCTCAACTATTGCCATATTGTAATTAAACTTCTTGACAAGTACTCTAGTTACTTTCCAGTACTCTAGCTACTTTTCTAGCTCTAGCTACTTTTCTAGCTTTATTATAGATTTTTCTAATCAATTTTAGCTTTATTGTAGAGTTTTCTAAACCTAATTACAACATTTCTATTAACTATTACAATAGAAATCCTAAAAAATTGAAAATAGAAGAATATTAGCTTCAACACAGAACACTGTGACTCATGAAGCTTAACTCATGAAAACTTTTCAACAAATTACATTAAGAAAAGTCATTGAGAGAGCTCAAGCAAGCTTCTTCTTTCCCCAAATATTTTTCTCATCTCCAAATCATGTGATTAAAGACTTAGGAAACAAGTTGCCTTTTTAGTGGAAAGGCTCCTCAAAACGCTCAATTCAATGCACCACAAAGTCGAGCGATCAGAAATTTATCAGCGCTTTTCAAAACATTTTCCTTTTTTAGACAGTCATTGACTTTCTGATAAAAATTTTATTGTTTTCAGGCAATTAGTTGATGACCAAAAAGATGCTCCACTATTTCTAAGCTA